GCCATATTACACTCTTATTATAATAAGATTAGTTAGTGATAGCTCTGGTTGGATATGGAGAATCAGTAGCAAAATACAGTGTCTCGTCTTTAGAAAAGAGTTTAGGAATGGAAGCTAAAAAGTTAAGGGACCAAATATCGAGTATTTCGAAAATGATGCGGTAAGCAATAGCACGAAATGCGCTTCTCAAATAATTATAAACCTTGGGGGTAAAAGGTAAGTAAATATTTTTGCCTCGAAAAAGATCATATCTCTGCAAAATCTCCTTTACTACATTTCAGCATTTTCCTTATTTGCAGTAAAATTAAAGAAAGCTTTGTAGCTATATATACATAAAAATATTTTTAATTTGTTTTGAGAATTGCTTGATCTCGCAAACTGTGAGAAGCAAGTAAGATTACAAGGCCATAAACTGACTCGATGGCAGTCTATATTTATTCGAGGAATAGTTAGTTTGCTTAAACTATTTAATGATGAAAGGTCGACGCAGAATAGCAGCTGTCAATAATGTTTGTTTGCCTAAATCTTTTTATCTTAGTTGTCCGAATTGTCCTATTAAGTGACCTTAGAAGAAAAAGGATTTTATCAAATATATATTACTGAATTTTCAGGATGAAATTATTCTCTTTTTTTATTTCTGAAGGAATCTACTTTTCTTCTTTGTTCGAGAAAATCATCATGCAAAGGCTTGATTTCGCAACCAACTGATTTACTTTTCCATATATACTTGATGATGTGAAACTGGGACGAATGGAGCTGAACACTTCAAACAGCTATTCTGCGGGTTTTTTGTTGTGTTGGTATGCATACGCATATACTGTAGCTCCATAATTCCCATAGTTTGTTTCATGTATTAACACTAGTTGGTAAAAGACCTTAAAGTATGCTCATACTAAGATGTATTTTCATCATATCCCAAATAGTTTGGCTGAAGAGTTGGGTCCTAATCGCAAACTTTGTCTTCATTGTGTACATTAATAGTGGTCCTCTTATTTGTTCAATGAAAGTATCTTTGAACGGTCGCCTTGGTCCTCAGGAGGAGTATGTCGACTTTTGGGTGCAACGATTGTTTAACAATTACAATAAGCAATTGCCCCTTTTTTATTCATACTAAAGTGCTGGAAGCGCGAATTATTATCAAAGTGCTTATTTGATGCTTCATTAAAAAATTTTAAAGAACCCTATAACTTGAAATTATCAAGACCGAAACATCGCCAAACTTGGCAAAGCTGGTAAATCAAAAATATTTTTAATTTAAACGATAAGAAGATGCTTCGGAAATATTCATTAGGATGTCCGTTTAAAGGCCTGTAGTAAAGAGGGGGAGAACATGAGTTAATGATAACCCACAACGAAGACACATCTAATTATATGTAAGTTTGCTATTCACTATTTCCTACTTGGTAAAAAGGCCTTAATATTATAAGGAATATGCTCTACGTTTTAATGAAACAGCAAAACTTCTTTGAATTCGACGTTAACCTACCAGTCTCATCGGATCGTATTTCTGTAGTATAAGCCGCCGTATTTCCCATCAGATCAGTGAAGTACTTAATGCGTTGCGCGAAGTCTGCCACGGGTTCAAGTCCTCTATTGTTAGCTGAGAATGAGGGCTTGCTACAGAGTAATTTTGCCAAATTGGTATCAACGCCTTGACCAACAAGCCATTTGCAGGCTACATTGGCGGCAGCTCCTGTGTCCAAGGCTGTATGAAGCTGCTCTAAAGCCTGTCGAGCAGTTGTTTCGGGATATGCGATCCTAAGTAGTAAGACACCTGAGATTTTAAATGGAAGATATTTAGAGGAGGTTTTTTTCAGAGCAAGTATAGTTGAATAAATGAAATATGAATGAAGATTAGCTAAGTAATTCTTATCAATCCTTAGACATTAGCATGAAATCGGAGTATTTGAGAAATCTAAAAGTAAAGCGAGTGGGCCAAAAGCAAAATAATTCAAGGTTAAGGAATGCCTGAATTTACAGGTATTTAGGTGTCTCATTTTATCGTGTTTCTTAGTCTTTCTTTTCACAATTTGACCAATCTATCTAGCGTAGTGTTTAATAAAACAATAGGAGCCCGAATAGTTCCATCAAGTCCATGGGTTTTTGAAGTCGAAAATAGGGCATTTTGTCTCGCTAAGCGGCAAACTGTGAAGAATAAAACGATGCCCAGAATATTTAGCTCAGCAGCAGAATCATTTTCTAACATCTTTGAAGGATTAGAGACAATGGTCAACTATATTGGTAAATTTGTAGTTTGTACAGGATCATATTTTTAATATTTTAATCTTGTTATATAAAAAATGATCCCTGAAAGCTGTTTAAAATAGATCTACTCAATAAATATATTTTTGACGAATATCATATCACTGATAAATTTGGCAAGTACTAACCTTAAAGTCAAAAATTGTGCAATTTTAGGATTGGGGAAAATTTGCTTCTAGATAAATGATATTTTCGTTTTGATTGACTCGTTCTATGATTATTGAGCTGACCTGCAATTCGAGTAAGAATTTTTAATGGAATAATTCGTACTTCAACCTCAGAGTGCAATAATTTTGATCTAACGTTTGATTTTAATGGGATACTTGGGTATTATGCACAAAAAATCTATTTAATGAATTCAGTGGAAGTTTGCTCAGGTTGTGTTTATCAAGTGACGGGCATTTTTAGGAATGGAATCCATTCTAACTACAAGTTTGAGCCAAAATAACTAACTGAGAGTTCAGCACACTTACTCCTCAATTGGTGTACGGATCGAGGGTAATAAAAGTTGGAAATTTCCAGCAAAATCAAGCACTAAAAGACTATTATCATCCTCAGTTAAGATGAATCCACGGCGATCCCAACTGCATGCCTTAGCTTAAAATAAGCATCAGTTCAACAAATTGTTTTTACCAATTATCGATGAAGAGACTATGATACGAATTCGTTTACGTGGTGAAAGGGCGCTATCAAGCCAGTACTTCTGATTCAAGTCTGTTATGACTGTCTGTTATGACTTCCTAATAGTTACTTGTAGTGGCTACATGTGTATATTGTTCCCACTGTTGTCACATATTACTAAGATAATTGTTGAAATCGAATTCTTCGGAACCAATCTGATCTAATCTTAAGTATAAAGTATAGCAAATTTATCATAAAAACCTGTAGAACTATTTACTATCAATATAAAAATCGTGGTAAACAAGAAAGGATGTTCATTTTAAAGTAAATAGATTTAGAATTGGGTTAACCTTATTTTCACAACAAGGTCGTGTTTTCAGGGAAACTTGTTCGAAGTCTTCTACTATTGTAGTTAGAATAGTTCCCAGAGTTGGACCCTGGACGTGGCATGTTCTCAGACATTTTGCCGGCATTCTAGTCGGCATAGAAAGTAAATCTTGACATTTTCAGCACCAAGCTACAAGTCATCAGAGAAAAATAAAATCAATCTCTTGACTAAACTTTCTGCCGAAACGATTGTGCTATCCATCCTCTTTCTATTCTGGCCTATCTATCTACTCCTTAACCTGATAGCACACGCCCGCCCTATCACAGTTTCTGCCTTACTTAGATTCCATACCAAATGTCACGCCAACTTGGTCTTCCTATCTTCAATTACCAGATTTAATTTGTTTTAATTCCCCAGTGCTACTGTTGATCCAAGTAAGGTCCATAGGCTTTACTTTATGTGCTGAGATGAATTAACCCGATTGTATTATTCATCAAGATGTGCTGAAGGAGCTAGGACTAGGCGTTTTATTTTAATTTTACCCATTAATAAACAGGAATACGTTTTCATACAAAAAATAGCCAAACATTTATTAGGAAGTTTTAATATAGATGAGCTTCAAATATATATCGAGAAATTGGGAAAATATAGTAATCGTATAGTAATGTCGCATATTTTCCACTTATGAACTAGGACGTAGCAATTAAAAGAGATTTGTAGAAATGTCCAACCCGAGCCTAGAATATAAAAAAATGCATCTGTTGTGAAATTTCAAAATACCTTCTTATTTCCTATTTAGTTATACTTGTAATCAAGCGAGTTATCCCTAAAATATTTTTGCATTACCTCATGGATTAAGTGAAGTTATAAATTTTTTCATACTTGTTATTATATTTACTAGGTCATTTTTAATCAATTGTTCATGATAGTAAAATTATTTCTCTTAGTTAATTAATTTTTCAACATGGGTTAAGTAAGTAAGTAGTTTATCATACTTCAATTTAGTGATTCCCTCAACAGGAAAACTAGAAATCTTCGTATCAAAAATGTAAGTACGCTTCGACTTCTTTTCATTCATCTTCTTGCTACACTATAACAAAGAAAACTATATCCCGGCAAGGTAATAGAATTAGATTTTTAAAAACTTGAATTTCTCATAATGTTGTTCTTATGTGTTGTTTACTCGGTAGATTTTTTTATCTACCGACGTCCACCAATAGGGAACTTGATCAGATATCGTGTTGTTTGATTAAAACTAGGCTCAAGGAAAGCATTAACAGACTACACGAACTAATTAGAACCAAAACTAGACTTAGGCAATTCCTTTTTGAAATAGTAAAAGATGTGTATTTCTTTAAGTTACAAGGCATGACTGACTGGTTTAAAGAGGCGACTGATAGAATGACACGTCGGATACATGATAAGAAGCTCCGAAAATTAGGGATTAGTATTAGGTCGAGAAACTTTGCACCTAAGGTAAGTCGTACTACCCATGGTTGTATCAAACTGGGGAAGGATAAGGTAATCAATTTGTATAGTGAAACTCTTGAGGATAGTGTAGTACTTTTATTTAAAAAAGGACTGCATTTTGCTCTTCTTCTTCTGGACATATTTCTTAAATTAATTAGCTTATATAAAAAGGTAAGAAATAGTATTGAACTGGAGATGATCCTTCATTTTGACCATATAATGATGCATATAAGTTCACGTTTTAAATGCCCATTTTTGGCTATATTCAGTTGAAAATTTGTATGATTATGTGGAATTACTAGATCACCAGACACTTTCAGAACAGGATAGGCTAGTAAGTTTTGATGTTTTGTCCATGCAAACAAACATTCCTGTTCAAGGAGCTATTCAAGCTCTGATATAAACTATGGTGGAGCATCCAGAGATAACACATGGAACCTATTATCCTATCCATAAATACCATATATTTTACCTTTGATGGTAAGTTATACGAACAAACACAAGGATTAACGATGGGATCTTGCCTGGCTCCCATCTTGGCGAACAATTATATGGCAAGACTGGAGGAACACTTCCTGCAAGAGGCAATACTAAACCCCAAATAGTTAGTTGAATAGATGGATGACTATTTTGCCATCTGGCCTCATTAAGGAAAGTTTAAATAGTTTTCTACTTTCACTTAACCAGCATGAAAGAAACATTAGGTTCACGAAAGAAATGGAAGAGAATAAGTTCTTACCTTTTCTGGATGTTCTAATTATTAGAGAAAAGGATAATTTAGGTACAGATGTTTATAGAAAGCCAACATATGTTGGCTCTACTTAATTTTCTTTCCAACCATAGCTACAAAACTAAGGTTGGCATTTTGAAGTCAATGCTTATTAGAAATATGAGGCTAACGGATAGCAAACATTTGACTAAAGAGTTGCAACGGCTGACAAATTTATTCCTGGAAAATGATTATCCTTTGAGCCTTGTTGAGAAGAATATCTCTCTACTAAAGAATAATTGATCAGATGGAGACCATTTAGTCAAAGATAGACAGACTGAGACCTTCTCCTCTGTCCTAATTTTGCCATCATGCCTTCTTTCAAAAAAGATAGACGAATTAGTAAGAAAGTGGGTATAAAAACAGTGTTCAAAGAAACCCTCACTTCTGTTAGGCTATCTTTTAGAAAGAAATATGACCCATTATCAAGATCCGGTTGCTACAAGATTGTTTGCTCATCTGGTCGATGTTATGTTGGGGAGACATACCGACCTATTCGACAAAGATTGGGCAAATACAAAAATGCTTGCAAAGGAAGCTGGATCCAACGGTCAGAAGTGGCCGAACACATTGTAGAAACTGGACATGAAATAGGATGATCTCAAGCTAGCAGTTTTGCTGATTATGGTACGTCTGTGGTTAAAAGAAAGATAAGAGATGTTAAGAACGGTAAAAGAAAGATAAGGGAATGTGTTGAATGTGAATAATGCTGGTAGGAAGTTGAGTAAGAATTGCTTATGCCTAATTTATAAATTGAAGGAGAGAGAGGAGGTTGAGCCGCCATCCAAAAGAAGGCGACTCAACTGTTCTGCTCAGTGATGGTTACAACTTCACTCACACTCGTCCAACATGTCAGATTACGCAACCCCATTCTTGCCTTTCCTTGGAGGGTTAAACGTTAATGAACCTAGACTGAAAGTGACTTAGAAACTTGACTTACCCACTTACAAGCTTACATCTCATTATCTCAACAATAATTGCTTACGGACTTACGCAATCTCGGCCAGGGCTTTCTCTTGCATATAGACGCTAATGCACAAATACACTCGAGCAGAAGTAGCAGGACCAGTATGAAAGATAATTAGCCAAACCACTCTAAATCTATCTAGCTTTTTTAATTTTCTTTTGCTTAATTGAGTCTATATAAGAGGTAAGATAGAGCCAGATAGTCTTCTTGCCCTATTGTTAACTTGAGACTTTAAAAGGAATGAGATCCAGCTCTGATGATGTCCATCATTTGATGGACAAAAGCTCCACCCGTTTTCACCCGAAACCAGGGAGGAGGTCTCGTGAATGGCTGCAGTACAACCGTATTCTGCCGTCTTCTTCTGGTGCACTTTCATACGAAATGAAAGTTCTCCTAATAATGAAAATCGTGTATTATATTGCGGGTGAAAATCTGCAGCAATCCAAAATTAATTAGTTATATTATTAAATTTTAAGTCAGTACTGTATTAGAGTTCTCAACTTATAAAGGCCGTACTCAACACAAAGTGAAACCCTTTTGAATTTAAATGTTAGTCGACAGCTCACTTAGTTTAACCAAGATTAAGCTAAATCAACATTTTTACTATTTAAGTAGAGTTTCGAGACTACCAGTAAATAAGTTTTATGAGATGTATTCACCCTATTTCGTTTAAGGCGATG